TGTGAGCCCAGGAGGTCTGAAAGCACAAGCTTGCGGTCCCATAGTGAGACTGGGTCTTTTAAGGGTGGAAGTGCTTTGGTTAGACCCTTGCATGAATATCAACAAACTAAGGTAGGGGAAAAAACATCTGCCTTTCCATGGATGGGCAACCTAATTGTTGCTAGGCATGCTTTGACTGAGTGCAGGGAAAGGCCCTTTTAGATTACCTCCTGGAGCTTGAAGTCAGATGCCATCTATTTATATCTCAGATAGTAAAAGGGATTTTCTTTTACACTAGAAAGAGACTCTGTCATCCACTCTGCCACATTAGTCAACCTGAGGCTTTTATGATGATCGTGATGCCATGGACCGAACGGGGTTATGACAGACAACAGATCAAGGAGCACAGCTCTGGGATTGGGTATACAAGAAACACAAATATCCAGGAACCAGAGATATTGAAAGTCCTGGGACCTCCAAAAATCAATTCAGCTGAATCCTGTCTGATCTTGTGAACATTTGGGGAATTAATGGAATAAGAATGTAAAAATATAATCAAACCCCTTTGTTCCCCCTCCTCCCCACCAAAATCCATGGAATTGGGAAAACATCATACAGAAATCCTGAGCTCAGACCTCCCCAGATGCAGAAGGGACTGAAACTTTTCATGGATCAGTGTTGCAATTGAGATTCTTTCAATTTAAGTAAGTATTAATTAGGTTTATTGTGCTATTGGTTGTTCTAAGGTCTACAAGCAAAGTGAAGTTGAAATCTCACTCTAAATCTGCCCCAATATCTTAGTTGGAGTGGAAATAAATACCAATTAAAGTGACTGCTGGTATAGCCCTGTCACGTGAAGGGTCTCCCCAGTGCCACAGAGTCAGAGACTGATGGAGCACAGCGCTAGGGTGAGGAATGAGTTTCCTGTGGGGCCACTAACCTATACTCCTCAGTCTAATATTTCACTGAGGGAACATAAGTAGAAGTCTATTATACATGCATTTCATAAGCCATCCATGAGAGCCACAAATTCTCAGTAGAGCGTGGGGAGGAGATTTCACCTTAGGGGAGTATTATGGACCCAGGCATGGGCAGTCTGGGCTAAGCACCAGAAGCCCAGTCCTGGTCAGCTTCCCAAGAGCTGGGGTACAGAGAGGTCAGATGTTAGAACTCGAACTGGGAGCCATAGCTGAGGTCAAGACAGACTGGGGTCAGAAGCTGTAGCTGGAGACAAGGTAAGCTGAGAGTTGACCAGGATCAGAAGTCAAAAGCCAGAGCTGGAGCTTGAACCAAAGTCAAGAACAAAGAACCAGAGATGCCAAGGGCCTTACCAAAATCAGAAGCTGGAGTCAGAGCCTGGAATCAAAACCAGAGAATCAGCAAGGGAGCACGGATGGTCAGGAGCAAGAACTTTCACCTTTACCCAGATAAGGAGACTTCAGGATGAGCCTGGCTTTTAAGGGGTCTGTTGCCTGCAGCTTTAGAGAACTGGCTGCACTGACTGGCTCACTCAGCCCAGCTAGGGCTCTGGGCTTGCTGCAGGTGGTGCTTGTTCAAGGGATGAATTGTCCTGATCTCCTGAATGAAACCAGCTGGAACCAGAGTTCTGATTCAACCTAATTACAAAGAGCTGGACACCTTTGCATTTACCTCATTTACCTTGGAAGGCATTTTCTCTATCTGATTTCAGATAAGACTGAAAGGCCTATAAAATAAGAGTATAAGAGTGCAGTCCCCCTAGCTCCCTAGTGCCCTTGGAACTTGTTCTGAGGACTACCCATTAGATAGATTTGTATGGGCTTCCCCAGCCTTCCCTCCCTATCCCTGAAGGACTCCAGGACAAAGCATTTCCCATAGGAGAAAGGATTATTGCAAGTATAGAGGCACCTAGAGTGTTCATGATTCATTGCTCTAATCTTGTCACATTACCTGGATCCAAGTGCCCTTGAATAAAAATGTCATCAAATGAAAAAAGTTTAAACTAAGCTTGCCAGCTGACAGTAGAGTAGAGCTATTTAATGTCTTATTTAGTAAATCTAAATGTAGCAAAGAAGAACATAGGATGAGCTTTTGTAGGCTACAGCTTACTTCATCAGATGCAATCAGTTAAAGCAAAGTTTTCTTTCAGTCTAAAAGCAGGCATCAAGAAGTCCTGTATCAAGCCAAAAAGTGGTTGAGAAGAACAAAAGTTCAGCTGGCACACGCTGCTATTTTACACCTTTGGTTAGAAGCTCAGGGAATCACACAGTTGCATACAGACTGGACAAAATGTCTCTGAATTTGGGCTCATAAAGCAGTAAAATGTTCAAAGGGACAATCATGCAAAGGAGAAGGATCATTTATTTAAAATGTTCTTGGAAAAGCACCTGTTCTGATGAGAACTACACATGTTGGCATCTCTTGTTGAACTGCTCACAGAAAAAATGTAGCTGTAGAACACGGATAGCTATCTTCCTATGATCATAAGCAAAACACTGACTAAAAATACAAAAGAAGAAAATTATAACTGTCCTAACTACTGTTTGAGATGCACTGTAAATCTCATTTTCCACCCAAAATGGTCTTCATTTTGGCTATGTTGATATTTAGAAAAATTAGTATCTGCCCTGTGATGATGAAGTACTAAAAGCATATGAGCCCTGTCTGTAGCAGCACTTATACTTCTGGTAGAAAAGATTAATCTTCAGTATTGCTAAAAATGAAAAGACATTTTCCTAGTGCGGACAAGTTGCTGGACATCTAAATACGTGCAATCTGAACAACATTTTCAATTGTACAAACTAAACAAATATATGCATACTAGTACTTATTTTAGTGGGTTTTTTTAAATCTGTATTCTGCCCAGTAACTCTCATCTAATAATTAATACATAGACACAAAATGATTAAACTGATTACTGTTATTATGCAGTAATTATTGCACAAGTCAAACACTTTTAAACACCTTAAAAAAGTATTCCTTATTGTATCATGCAGAGCACCAAGGTATATAAGGAAAATGGAGGGGAAAACACACTGTGTGATGACAACTGAAACTTCCCAAAGCACACAATAATATCATCCAAAACCAAAGATATAAAAAGCCAAACACCTCTGGTTTGTGATAATTTAATTTAAAGGCTACTTTTCTCCATTTTCAATTAAGGAAAATGTTCTGAGAAAACTGACTCGGACTTATGCTTAGGGATAGGATTTACATAAACACTAAGTGCAGGCCTAATACAGATTCCATAGAAATTCACAGGAGTTAGATCAGCCATGAGCATTTTTGTAAATCCCTACACTTAGTTTAAACTAATAAGATACAGATACACCACATCTCTTTGCTGATTTTGTATACTAACGCAACTGTGACCACATTTCTCTAGCAAGACAAAACAACTAACAGCAAAACACTACAGAAACTAAGTATTTATATTTAGAAATTTTACTGTAACCTTTGTAATACATATCAAATAATAAAACTACTGAACTGAGACTAGTAATTATATAATTGTTCCTAATATTTAATGGGTTTTTTCAAATAGTGATGATAGATTAAATAGGTCAAGATGGAAGGAGATGACAGATTAAACAGGGCAGAAAATAAAATAAGTAAAAAATACACCATGCAGCTTGTAAAAGATGGAATTGATCACTTCTGCTGAACCTTATATTTTAAAGTAAGAATAAGAACACCAAGGTGCTTTCCTTTGACTGCAATCAGTACAATTAGCTGAAGAAAGTTTGCATGCTTTTATTATAAGCCAAAGGACTGTTCTCTACAAAAATGGAAAGGATGCAAGATTTTCCATTTATATATAATATTAATACAGAAACTTTGTAAGGGGTTAAAGAAAGCTGAATATCTGCTTTACAATAATTCAGACCCTGAAAAGATTTATAAAAGATTCAGGCCCTAAAACAAATTCCCAACATTACCATGTACCTGAAAACCAGCACAAATTTTGTTAATGTTTATCCGTTTTCTACTGTGGGCTATTATACAGAAAAGGATATTTCATCTGAACATCTGAAAGGTGCCATCTTATCCAGAAATCTGCTGATGCCCAATACCAAAAGTGAAATAAAATCACTAGTGTCCTTATTTTGGCCAGGCTGTTTCATGTATAAATCTTAATAAATGGCAAGACATACATGAAAATCATGAAATGTCAGTCTCGCATACATGAAAATATTTTTCTTAAGTACAATATGTATTTAATCTGTCTGGCATTCACTTATATAAGAAGTGTCTGTGTAGAAAAGCTAAAACAAAGGATGGTTAGAATCACTGTTCTGTGGAGGACTTTTTAAATGAATGTAGGTTGTGACCCCATACCACTGGACTCAACTGGTCCCTTGCCCTTGACTGCTGTGGGAATAAAGTTGAGCCCTGAGTGGCTCATAAAAAGTCATGAAATGAGAAATCTTTGGTATACCCATAGAAAAAAGTGCAGCACAAGCAATGGTCACACTGCCCCAAACTGTGCCTCAACATGAAGCTGGAGGGACCCTTGACAAATCTGACTCTTAGGCAAGATTTAGATCTCTTTCAAACATGGAAGATTTTTGTTTGGGGATGGGGGATTCATTTTCAGATACAATATTTTAAAACAATAAGTAAAATAGGAGTAATTGTTTTTCTCAAATATATTAAAACTTGCAACACTAGTATCTGTTATGTTTTATATAGCAGAGTATTACATTTCTACAGTACCTTATTAGAGGAAAACCTACAAAGGAAATTGAAATAAAACTGACAACATAGGCCTTTGATGCCTACAACTGTTAGGAGCTCAAGACTCCATTGCCAGTCAATATGACTTTAAAGCTGAAAAGCGCCACTAAAACAGGCCCTTGCCCTCACTTCTGCTCTGGGGATTTTTAAAAATTAACAGAAATATTTCTGTTGTTTTAAGTTTTTGGAAAAACTTTTATAAATCTTAGGGAATATGCACAGGTCCCCTTTCACGTTTAACATTTATAGCACTAACATTAATCTTTTTTTTCCACAATGGACTGTCTTATATAAATACTTACAGAAACATCTTTCAGATTTTTTTCATAAGAGAAATGAAAGTAGTCTGCATTTTCTTCATCTTTAGAAATATCAAAGTTATATATGTTAGCTGGTCTTGCTTCTAATACCAATGCTTTCCTCAGTTCTTCAACATATTTTTCTCTTTCCATTTCCATGTCAGCAGCTTCCCTAGAAATTTCAGCTTCAGAAACTGTGCAAAGAAAAATTAGAGAAATCATATGTACATAGGAAAAAGTAAACAAACAAATAAACAAATAAATAGTTAGGGAAATTATTCTTCCCTTTATGCAAACTCATAATATCCATGGATACTAATAACAATGCAGCAAGAGTAAGAGTTTAAACAAAAATTTTAAAAGTTTACTAACCACTGAATGTAATGAATCCAAACAGAACTGATTTAAAAAGTGCCTATATAATATGATCTAGGTCATGATCTACAATTCATCAATAACGTCATTTATATTTTTTTAATTTGTTCACAGTAATTTCACTTTCCAGTTACATCACTGATCTTCTGCTTAAAAAACAAAAAACCCCCAAATCTTAGATTGTCAAGTACTAAACAGGAAAAATCACATCACTAATGCAGGCTCCCAGCATCTGTAAGAATGAGCTGTGGAGACAAGAGTTGTAGCTTGAACCAGACTGAAAATAGCTCTCAACTCACAATTGCAAACAAAACTGAAAAAAGCCTCAACCTTAACACTTTTAATTAACTCTATTTCATCTTTATACGTATGTAATATCTTGATACATGTTTCACATACACATATAAGCTTCTATACCACTCCTAATCAGACCAGTGAAAACAGAAGAGCTTCCCATACAGAAAGTGACCGGGTTTAAATGACCACATTCTTCTCCTCTTCATTTTCTTGACATTTCAGGTAATCTAGTATTGCAACAGAAGAACTACTCATCAGATCAATTGCCCAAAAATGGGGCAATGAGTGAGTGGACAATTATTTGCTAAAGATATATATCTCCTCCTGTCCCCCTGACCTGAATAAACTTTTTTTGATGCAGTTTTGCACATCTTTTTTTATCAGCTATGATAAATGAGATGATACTACAGATCTTTTTTTTTAATTTTAAGTCAAGTGATAGTGCAGATTTTCAGTCAGAAAGCAGCCATTAATTTACATATATGCATATATACAAATCAGGTACGTTCACACCAAAAGCTAGATAAGGGCCTCTCCTCAGGCCTGCAAATCAAATGTTTATGCAAGTATGTACAGTTCATGTACAAAAATGTGACCATTTTCTCACTGGGTGCAAAATACTGGTAGCATCTTTAGAAAATAAGTAATATTGAAAATTGTGACAAATAGTAAGAGACAAAAGGAAAGTGGAAGTGCCCAGGTTTTGTAGTGCCCAGTAAAACCTGAATAAAATGTAGTTGAAAGTTTCAGGAATTTTCAGCCTTTGGTCTGCTCTGAATGGAGGAAACCCAAGGCATTTATAACATCAAGCATGGGTAGAAGACTCTGATCAGGAATACCAGCTAAACACAGGTAAAATACTAGCAAATGATAATCTCCAATAGAATTTGGTCACCATCTTAAGAAAGATTCTCTCTCTGTAGCCTCACCTATGCTTGCACAGCCTATTCAGACAGATCCAGCCAATAATGTCCAAATTAATGGTCCAGTTTGGGGAGACATGAATCAGAATGCATTAGCATTAAAGTCAGAATCAAAATGACATAAAATGGGATGGTAAAAGTAGTGGAGAAAGAGAACTAAACTGGAACATGTCCTTTATTTTCTTTAGTAATCGTACCAACAACCTGAAGCTAATTCACAACCAACTGAAGCTCCTTGCACCAAGGAAAATTACCTGTCAGTGGAATTACTCCCATTACACAAATGTGTAAAGTCTTTACAAGATCAGGGACATACAATAAAAATAGTCTTTGTCTTGAGAAAATGATGACCAAACATAAATGAAAGATGGTAAAATATGGTCTCCTACTAAGGCTTCCCAAAGGTTTGGGTCAATTTTAAAAGCCTTCATATCCTGTTTGCAGACATCTTTGAAGTGCAATTGCGGGCACCCTACACTTCTCTTGCCATCTGCAATTTGACCATATAGGATGTCCTTTGGGATATGGCCACCTTCCATCCTGCAAAGATGACCAAGCCAGCGTAAGCACCACTGTTTGAGTAATGAAGTGATCGTTGACAGGTTGGCTTTGGGGATGTCCTCTGCGTTGGCTATTCTGTCTTGCCACCTGATATCAAGGATGTGCCATAAACAGCATAGATGAAAGCTATTCAGCTTCTTTTCTTGCTATGAATATGTTGACCATGTCTCACCCAGAATGCAGGCTTTGTACACAAACAGCTTAGTTTTGACTGAGTATGGAACAATAGAAAACTCACATTTAGAGTAAAGAAACATTAATTTCAATGTTTCAGATTTTTTTGTTAATAAAAAAGGAAAAAAAACCCACAAAATAATTGGGAGATGCAAACAAAATAAAGCATTAGTGAAAAAATGAACATAACCCTAACAAAAATTAAAATTATGCATGGACTATAATAAAAGTTTGTAAGCTTGTGTTTGGTTCATATTGTGTAATTTTAGTACCTTTGTTAGGCTTTTCTATGGTTTAACATTTCTTAAACAATTTGACTTGCATGGCTTTTCATCATTCTACTACATACACAAGAACAATAAAGAAAACAATCCTTCATCGAGTCTTACTCACTTCCTGACATGGCTTGCCAAGTAAAATATTTCACAGTATGAGAAACAAAAGCAATTTCCCACAATAAAATAAATCTGACCACTTCAAGCAAATAACTCTAAAAGACCTCAATTCTAAAATTTTTAAGTTGGGATCCAAATAATGTTTATTATGAATGAAAAAGATTGAAAACATGGTCCTAGGACAGGTCTGACTTTATGAAGCTGCAAGACTGAACATGCACAATAGAAAATGTTATGCATATAGAATTCAATTCAGCTCCCACTGAAATCAGTGAAAAGACTGGAAAGGCAATATGTATTATTACAGATTAGATCAATCCCTAACAGAGGAAGTAAAAGCAAACTTTCCCTGGAATGACTGTCTAGTGCTCATGCTACACTTTTTTTTTTCTTCCTTGCAATATGTGATGTCATTCTGCTTTCATTCCACCGTCCATTGGGAAAGGACATTATGTCAGTTCTGTCAAAAGCAAAAAGTTAATTACTGCCTGAGCTGTAGTGGTTAGATTTTCTTTATAACAACAGCATATAAAACCAAGCATAATTTTTAAAGTTCACAGGCTGTCTTAACAGAAAAACACTGCAAAAGCTTTTAGCCAAAAATACAAAAAAATTAAGCAAGTGCCTAGTTAACAATTAGAGGAAAAAAAGATTGAGGCTTTGAGAATATTACACCTCACTCACCATTGTAGGCAAGAGAGAATTCATATCTCCAGTATTACAGGCAGTTGGGCAACATTAGGCAGATGCATCCCTTTTATCCTGTGCAAGAACTTCTAATTATACATTTAAAATACATATGAAACACTTTTAAGCAAACCTACTTTTATGCATCTGAAAACAGAAATGAGAAGAGACAGAGAAAAATATTATCAAAAAAGGTTAACTAACAAACGGCATGTCTACACAAGATGCTTTACTGAGCAGTAGACTAATGTACTGCACAGTAAGGCATCACCATGTAACCATGTGCAGCAGCTCCTGCACAGTAAATTAGGCTAATGCTTGGTTTTCTAATACCTGTAAATATAGGTAGATTAACTGTGCGTTAGCTACTGTGCAGTACTGCTCATGTAAAAGAGCTATATGACTTAAGTAAAAGAGCCATATGATTGGTCAGAACTCCAGTATGAAACTGTAGCTAGGCCTGTTGAAAGTCTCTGGGCTAAGGTTAGAGGTGAGAGTAACAACGGTGATGTTGTAGTGGGTGTCTGCTATAGACCACTCAGGAGGAAGTGATAAATGAGGCTTTCTTCAAACAGCTAGCAGAAGTTTCCTGATCACAGGCCCTGGTTCTCATGAGGGACTTCAATCACCCTGACATCTGCTGAGAGGGCAATACAGCAGTGTGCAGGCAATCCAGGAAGTTTTTGGACAGTACTGGGGAGAACCTCCTGGTGCAAGTACTGGAGTGGTCAACTAGGAGCCATGCTATTCTTGACTTGTTGCTCACAGAGAAAAATTGTTGGGGCAATTCCACTAGTAGTGGATGGCAGTTTGGATAGCAGTGACCACAAGATGATTGAGTTAAGGATCCTGAGGAAAGGAAGGATGAAGAGCAGCAGAGTGAGGACCCTGGACTTCAGAAAAGCAGATTTCAACTCACTCATGGAACTCATCAGCAGGATCCCCTGGGAATCCAGTCTGAGGGGGAAAGGAGTCCAGGAGAGCTAGCTGTATTTTAAAGAAGTCTTACTGAAAGTGCAGGAATAAACCATCCTGATGCGCAGGAAAACTAGCAAGTATGGCAGAAGACCAGCTTGACTTAGCAGGGAACTCTTTAGTAAACTAAGACACAAAAACAAAGCTTATAAGTAGGGGTACACTGATAAGAGAATTTTGGGGCCAATACCAATAGCCCATTTTTAAATGAGCCGTATCGACCAATACCGATCTGATTCTGATATGCAGCATGGAGAGCAGCGTCTGGCTGGTAAGTCTGTTGTGGGGAAGGGGGCAAAGGGGGAGGGAAGGGGCGTGGTGGGGGCCAGATCAAGGCCCCTGCAGTGAGTGAGGGAGTGTGGCTGGGGTAGATGCTGCACAGGCAGGGCAGAGAAGGGGACGGACCCATGAGCGGCTCATCTGGGGGGCACAGGAGGGAGTGGCTCTTGCTGCTGCACGCACCCCAGGGGGGCATGAGCCCCCAGATATGTACTTAGAGTAAGTACAGGATGCTGCTGTGGAATGGGGCTGGGAGGTGCTCAGGGCAGGTGGCACTGATGCTGGGAATGGGGCTACGGGGGGCTGCAACCACCCCAAAATTTGCCATAGCCCCCCCCACAACCCCTCTTCCCAGCGCAACCCATCCTGAGCGCAGCCCAGCCCAGCCCAGCCCCCTGTTGGGAAGAGCCCAGAGCCACACCCAGCCCCAACCCGCCCTCACCCTGCATAGATCCAGGGGCACACACCCCCCCATGCCATCCTGGAGTACGCGTAATGGTGGGAGCCGCCCATCCCCCCAGATGAGCCACTCGCAGCTCTGTCCCCCTCTCTGTCCTGGCTGTTCAGTACCTGCCCAAGTCCCACTCCCTCCCTCATCTCAGGGGCCTCAATCTGCCCCACAACCCTTCCCTCACAATGGACTTACCAGCCGGACCCAGCTGCTCTCCACACCGCTGAGCTGTGCTTCTGGCCACCTGTGTGTTGTGCTGCAGCTGTGCAGATGCACATGGCATTTATCGGTGGCGTTATAGTCCACATGAGCCAAAAAAGCCGATTGCTGATTCAATCAATTTTCCTTATATCGGTGCTGATCCAATATGGGACCCAGGTATCAGTTCACCTCTACTTATAAGAAATGGAAGCTTGGACAAATAAATATGGAGAAGTATAAAAGCATTGCTTAGGCATGCAGGGATGAAGTCAGAAAGGCCACAGTGCAGTTGGAGTTGCAGCTAGCAAGGGACATGAAGGGTAACAAGAAGGGTTTCTACAACTATGTTAGTATGTTAGCAAGAAGAGAATCAGGGAAAGTGTGGGTCTCTTACTGAATGGGGGAGGCAATCTTGTGACAGAGGATGCAGAAAAGGCTAAAGTGTTCAATGCCTTCTTCACCTCGGTCTTCATAAGCAAGGTCAGCTCTCAGACTACTACACCAGGCAGCACAGTCTGGGGAGAAGCTGAGCAGCCAGCAGTGGCAAAAGAACAGGGTAGAGACTATTTAGAAAAACTAGCTATTACAAGTCCATGGGATTGGATGGGATGCACCCAAGGGTGCTGAGGCAGTTGGCTGATGAGACTGCAGAGCCAATGGCCATCATCTTTGAAAACTCATGGCAATCAGGAGTGGTCTTGGATGATTGGGAAAGGGCAAACATAGCGCCCATATTTAAGAAAAGGAAAAAGGAGGATCCAGCGATCTACAGACCAGTCAGAGCCTTACCTCAGTCCCTGGAAAAATCATGAAGCAGATCCCCAAGGAATCCATGTCTAAGCATTTGGAAATGAAGGTGATTAGGAACAATTAGCATGGATTTACCAAGGGCAAGTCATGCCTGACCAACCTAATGCCTTCTATGATCAGGTGACTGGCTCTGTGGATGCGGGAAGACCAGTGGATGTGCTATACCTTGATTTTAGTATGGCTTTTGATATGATCTCCCACAACATTCTCGCAGGCAAGCTAAGGAAATATGGACTGGATGAATGGACTGTAAGGTGGGCAAAAAACTGCCCAGAGCATTGGGCTCAGAGGGTAGCAATCAATGGTTCAATGTCTAGTTGGCAGCAGGGATCAGGTGGAGTGCCCCAGGCGTCAGTCTTGGGGCCAGTTTTGTTCATTGTCTTCATCAGTGACCTGGAAGATGGCATAGAGCCTCAGCATGTCTGCAGATGACACCAAGCTGGGGGAAACAGCAGATAAGCTGGAGTAGGATTCAGAGTGACCTAGACAAATTGGAAGGTTGGGCCAAAAGGAATCTCATGAGGTTCAACAAGGACAAGTGCAAAATCTTGCACTTAAGGTGGAACAGTTCCATGCACTGGTACACACTGGGGGCTGACTGGCTGAACAGCAGCTCTGCAGAAAAGGACCTGGGGCTTACAGTGGACAATAAGATGAATATAAGCCAACAGTGTGCCCTTTTTGCAAAGAAGGCTAATGGCATACTGGGCTACATTGGTAGGAGTGTTGCCAGCAGGTCAAGAAAATGATTATTCCCTTCTATTCAACACTGGTGAGGCCACATCTGGAGTTCTGTGTTCAGTTTTGGGCACCCCGCTACAGAAAGGATGTTGATAAATTGGGTAGAGTCCAGCCGAGGGCAACAAAAATGGTGAGGGGGCTGGAGGACATGACTTATAAGACTGGGGACAAGACTGGGGGAACTGGGCTTATTTAGTCTAGAGAAGAGGAGACTGAGAGGGGACTTAATAGCAGCCTTCACCTACCTGAAGGGGGGTTCAAAAGAGGATGGAGCTACACTGTTCTCAGTGGTGGCAGATGACAGAACAAGGAGCAAGTCTCAAGTTTCAACAAGGGAAGTTTAGATTAGATATTAGGAAAACATTTCTAACTAGGAGTTTAGTAAAACACTGGAACAGGTTACCCAGAGAGGTGGTGGAATCTCCATCCTTGGAGGCTTTTAAGACCTAGCTAGACAAAGCTTTGGCTAGGATGATCTAGTTGGAGATGGTCCTCCTCTGAGCAGGGGGGTTGGACTAGATGACCTCCTGAGGTCCCTTCCAACCTTAGTTTTCTATGATTCTATGTAGCCAGCTCACCAGGAGCAAGTTGCTTCTGGTCAGCCCAGGCAGCAGGAAGTAGGGGAACTGTCCCCTCCCCAGCAGCTGTTTCCAAGGCCTCTGCCCCAATCATCAGGGCAGGGCTGGAAAACAGCTGTAGGGGAAGGGACACTTTCCTAGCCCCATGCCCCAATCTCCCAATCAGGACACAGGGCTGAGAAACAAGTTCCCTGGATGCAGGACAGCTCTCACTGTCCCCCAGAGCCCAGGCCTGACCACGATGCCCCCTGCCAGCCGAGGGCTGGGACCCAGGAGAGCCTGGAGCTCTTATTGGCTACTGTAGAAGGGGCAGACCAGGGCAGGAGTAGCCTTTAAGAACTCACATATTTGCTTCTGATAGGGGTACATGTAGATGCGCTCTCGGGGAAAGTTTACTGTGTAGTAAGCTTACAGCACATTAATAGTATGTGTAGACATGCCCAAAGTGTATTAACCTGATAATTAATGAAATCAATGGAAATCAGAAAGAAACCAAAAAAACTGGAAATCAAATTTTAATAAGGCCCTCAATAAACAGGGACAGATCCAAGAGGTGTGAAGTGGCATGATCACAAACCCCCTTCACTATATGACTCATATAGCGGTGGCTGCAGTACCCCCCTGATCCATGTCTGGGTTGCTTTTGGAGACCAGGTAGAAACTGAGCTCAGGCTGCACCAAAAGAGCAGCAGCTGAGAACTTTTTAAAGTCTTTGAAGCATGTAAGAATTCCCCTTACCCACCACTGTTGACCCACTCCCAATAAGTCTCCCGTGCTAGGTACAAAGGAGACCTTTACTGGTTACAAGGAGTAGGTTTGGAATAGGGTACAGGGTTAGGCAATAGCAGAGAAATCCCATAGAGAAAACTGGCATGGCTGGGTAGCCTTTGATCACGCATCTGAGTTACTGCAAACTATATATCTAGTTAGATCTCAGGTAGCTTACTCATGAGTATCATCCAGAGGCAGGTGGAGGTTCCTTTTAGAGATGGGCAGTTCATTGATCATGAATTTCAAGAGAAAGAGCAAGTTTCAGATGGTCCAGCTTCTCTCTCTTGAGTTTTCATCATGGCTACTGCCCCTCCTCCTAGGCAGTCCTTAACCTATGTAGACCCTATGACCTCATTTACCTGGTCCCATGGAGGCCAGCAACTGTTGGCTGCCAGCCAACCAATTTGAAATGCATCACTGGTTGCCAGGTAGATTGGCATTTCTCAGAACCATAGGGAGCTCAAGCCCCTCACCCAGGTATGTGATGCCAGTCACGTAGGCAGAGGGAGCAGATTACCCCCCTCCCTCAGGAATGTATCCAGCTCAGGTTACAACTCAGGGTTATCTAAAGAGATGGGATGTCTGCCCTCTGCAGTGACCATGTTAACCAAATTGTCGCATTGCAGCGTTTTTGGGGAAAGAAAGAGATGGCCACACCCCCCCTCCTCCCCCTTTAAAAGCTTCACAGAGCCGAGGGTATGAGCATGTTTTGTTTGGAAGGGTCACCTTTCATGTCTAGGTACTGGCTTCCCTTCAGGACTCAGCAGCACCTCCTCCACACCTCTGCTCCCACAATTCCCTTCAGACAGGGTTTGTCCAGGGCACAAATCCTGCTAATTATGCCTATGGAAGCAGGAAAAGAGACCTGTCTGCTGCCAGTGCTGTCCCTAGCTAACTCAGTGGTATGAGTAGTCCCATGGCTACTCCTGCCCTGCTCCAGATGAGGGCTGTGGGGACTGGCTACACAGGATGCCAAGCTTGGCAACAGACAGCAACAATAGCAGGTGGGTTCCGCTTTATTATACTTGCCCTTGGTTGGCAGGGGACAATTCCTACCTGCTTTGGGGATTCAAAAAATGTTCCTGACTGCTACTGCTGCAGCACAGTCTGCTGCTGGGGGAGGGAAGGGAGCTGGAAGCCTGGTGGGCCTCACAGCTACCTTTGCAGCATAAGTAACAGCTCCCACACAGCCCTTTTCAAAATCCTAGGTTTGCCTATAACAATACACACTGCCACAGTATATCAAGTTTAACAGGCCACTGAGATTTCTGAAAGGATTAAATTCTTATAATAATATGTATGGCCAACCTCTTCAGAAGTGGTCAAGCATTTTGGGTGCATCTGCACAACACGCTAAATGTGCAGATTAATTCTAGTGCACATTAGCATGTCATGACAAAAGCCGTGCTATTGCGGTAACGTGCAGTAGATTTAGTCTACTATTATTAGTGTCACTAAAAAGGTGTGCACCGGTGCTACCATGCAGTAGCACCAGTTATTGTGCATTGAGTTAGCACTTGTTATTACAAATACTAGATTTAATGTGCAGTAACTACAGGGCATTAATGCACATGTAGATATGCCTTTTGGTACTTCAACTTTTCTCATGGCATGTTATAAAGTATTTTTGGTGTTTTGGGTATTGCACCTCATAGTTGTGTGTGTGAGGGCTTGAAGTGACTATTTTGAGGAGTCCTTGGGTAAACAATTGCCTGTAAATACAAAGGACTGGACTCAATGGCCCAGTCCTAAGTCCTCACTTCTGGAAGCCCACCTGACATACCAGATTTCCAAGAGCACCAAGCAGCCACAAATACAATTTCTAAATGAGGACAGTTCTCACCATCTCAGCAAGTCAAACTGAAAGCCTTCAAGGTGGACAGCTGAAAACTGAGGAACTAAAACCAGTGACTATTTTTGAAAATGTGGCTATAGATGAATAACAACTTCAAATATAATATTGGCTATAAAAAATTTAGACGTGTCTCTCTTCTCATGATTCATTAGTTACTACAGAATGCTACATACTCTTCCCTTCTCCGAGGCATTCTTGCTCCAGAAAATAAATGTTCCTTATCAGATACACAACTGACAGTTCTGCAGAAAAACACGAATTTTTGTTTTATCTCGCTGAGTGTGAAGAAGAGAAATGTAAATCCCTCTTATTTGTCACTTTTCCACCCAGAGATCTAAAAGCCTATTTGTTTTTACAATTTATATTCAGGAAAAGTAATATTGTATTTTGGTCTTCTACTTATTTTCCTTCATACATATGCATGCTATGGGTACAAAATTAAATTACCAGTAGTCTAATAAATCATCTAAAAGGGTTAATATAGTAAATAAGTCTGGATGTTTATAATTCACAGAAGATATCTGAACAAATATAAAAAGCAGAGTTTGGGAAGGTACAGTGCCCTAATTTAATGCCATCACAAGAAATTAAAATACTAGGAAAACAGGCAATACTGCCTATCCATAAATTAGTATTTATTTTGACATTTGAGTCTTGTCATAGGTTTAAAACAGGTCCCAAATGATCAGGATGTATCCTCCCTTCCTGGACAGATAAAGAAGGAACCCAGAAACGTTTTTATAGTGTACTACAGGATAAAAACAGTTAAACACATCAATCACAATTAATGCAAAACATACTTAATTACAAGTAATCTTTCAGTTCCTGTATTACCTGTCCCAGTCCATGCTGATTGACCATCACTAAGCGTTGCAACAAAACCAGTGCTTAAGTCTTTTTCCCAAGCAACCTGTAGAAAATATATTGTGCCCGGAGTGGAAGCCAGATGAATTCTGTTCACTATTTTCTCCATTTTTTAGTCACCTGCTTGGAAAAAGAAAGAAAAAAAAAAAGATGCGTATTGATTCTGTGTTTAATATGATGAAATAATTTGAAAATATATTTACATAAATGTGGAAGTGGGCAGCAGCGGATTAAGATTCATGGTCCAGGGCACCACCTCCTCCCCCCCGGCCCAACCCACAGCCATGGGCTCCATCCCCAGCCAGCACAGTGGGAGCAGCAGTCAGAGCAGGATGTGCTGCCCCCCCAAGCCCAGGACAAGAGCCATGGCAGCCCTCACCTGTAAGTCTGCACTTGGAATTGGCACCGAGTGTGCGAAGCTGCTGCCTGCCAGGTGAGGGTGTCGTGGACCGAGCTCCAGGGATGCCCCACGCCCTGCTGCAGCTCAGTCTGACTGAAGCGACACTCAGCAAATGGCCCCCAGCAGCCACAGCTCACCACATAGCACATGCCCAGCCTGGCCCCCAGTTTTGTTCATGCCGAGACAGGAGCCCCTGGGCCCAGGCCCAGTTGGCCCATGCATTAATCCACCTATGGAAGTGTTGAATATAAATGCATTCACTCAGTATTTCATCTTTTAGGCCATCAGCAATGCCTGGGTCATTCAAAGAACTTTCATGGCTGCTGCTAGTCAAAAATTAGTAGTCAAAAACTGAAATAGACTGGCTAAGATCAAGTTGGGAAGGAAGGGATGATGAGAAAGTTAAAGTCAGTCTTTTAGGAAGGCATCTCACATTAATAAAAGCATACATAATACGAATAGTGAAACAACTTTTAAGCTGACTGTAAAGTCAATTAAAATGTACGTTTCTTTGAAATCAGTTGGCAGACCATATAGGAGGTGGCAGGACAAAGCAAATTTGTTTGACACTAGTTTACTGAATAAATCTAAACAGCATCACATATCAATAATATGTTTTGTCAAACACAACATTTTCGTTATTCTTCTAATGCAATGCAGCAATAACCCACATTCAGCATCGTTTCCTTACGCCCTAGGAAATACTTCCACAAAAGCAGTATAGGAACATAAACTATTGCAAGTTCCTGCTTCAATGGAGTAGTGGATTTTGGTGGGTTTTTTTCAAATTTCTTCATGATTAAAATTTTCCCATCCAATCTATGTTTCTCAAACTGTGGTCTGTATTCCCCTGAAGATGTGCGGCATACTTGCAGAGGACATAGAAGAGGAAGGAATGAAAAATGTAGGAGGGAAAAAAGGGATTGATGGGAAAAAAGAAAGAAAGAAAGAAAGAAAGAAAGAAAGAAAGAATGATCTCTGTTAGATCCAAAGGTTTAAGAGCACGTGCTCCTTCCAGATTGGTGGAAGGGGCACTAGTGTCAACATTTCAGGCCCAGGAGAAGGGTGGAAAAGAGAGGAGCAGCAGTAGACAGGAGACTGGAACCACAACTGGCTGGAGCTGTCAATCTTCCGCAGAAGAAGGCAGGAGGAATCAAGCTGTGGGAGAAAAGCAGCTGTGAAGAAGGGATACGCTGCTAGGGAGTTGACTGACAGAGTGGAGCTGACACAACAGCAACTGGAGGCAGCAAAGAGACTTTAACAAGGGAGAAGCGGCTGTGAGTCTTACAGGGGCCCTGCCCTTTTAGCCCAGTTTGGGTATTTCTTTTCTCTTAGTTTAGGTTTTTGGTTTTTTTCTGTGTGTCTCCTTTTTTCTCCTAAACTGTGTTGCTCAAAAAAACCCCAAAAAACCTGAAAAAAGGAAAAAAAAAAAGGAGAGAAGGTAGCTGGGCCTGCCCTAGCATGGGACTGTTAAAGTAAAACCAGCTGAGGGAGGCATTGGTCCCAACCAGGGATCTGGGCCCTGAACTGTAGCCCGGACTTGAAGGTGGGAAACTGGGGATTCACGGGATGGCATGAATTAGACAGCCATGAACAGTCTGACTGAAATATGGGGGACTAAAGTGATTCCGGATTAGTATGATTCTGGACTTGTGATTTTTTTTTTCTGGGAAAAACTTTTGGTTAAAGCCTACTAGCCCAAGCAGTAGGGTAAATTGATTTGAGTTTGTTTTCTGTTGAGACCCAGAATAAATTAGCTTAAATTGATTAGAGATTCCTGAGTTAAAGGCTGATTTTGTGGTCATTTTTATTTTAGTTATATGGATATACATTTGAATGTTATGCAACACCCAAAGCAACTGACGATTTATTGACTCCATTGAAGATAAGACATGATGAGGGTGGAGTATAAGAGAAGGAGGAGCCCCACAAAGAAGAATTGACCTGGGTGGGCAAGGAGGGTTATTGCTTGGCCTGTATCCACCTCCCAGTAAACTTTAATTAACATCAAGGCATGGCAGGTGAAAGATGGGTTTTCCAGGCTGGGTGATCATAGTATTCTATGATCAACCTCCTCACAGCTCATCACAGCAAGACTTCAGGCCACTGGGGACTGTGGCCATATAGCATCCCCATTTGACAAAGGTCAATGTCAATAAGATCTTGGGTACCTGAAGGAAAGCCATAAGGTCACTCATAGGTAATGTGTTTGACTGTCTGATCTTGAGCACCACAGCTGCAGCCAGCATTGTTGGAGAGGCCACAAGAGTACATGCTCATCTTAAACTGTCCAACACCCATCCTGAGACAGTGAAGAGTAGTCCAGGCCCTGCAAGGCAGATGCTATCCCAAGGGGTGGAACCTGGTGTTGGGGATGAAGTTCTTAAGCCACAGTTCTTGTGCAGCATATTGCTTGCTCCACCCCTACCAAACATCCTGCCTGCCCGACACGTTGTGGGGCTGGAAACAGGGGCAGTGGGTCAGGAATCAGAGGCACCAGCAGGGCCAGGGTGCTGCAGGTGGGGAGTGAGGGGCACCAGCAGGGATGAGGGCCTGTGGTTTGGGAATTCAAGGTACCAACAGAGCCGGGGGCTGTGGGTTGGGAGCAAGGAACACCAGCAGGGCCAGGAGGGTTAGGAGGGAGATCTCAAGTCCAAAAAGGTTGAGAACCACTGGCCTACAGAACATCAGAAAACATATGAACATGACTAAGATAACAACTGGTCCTAGTCAATAACTCCCATGTATGTCTAAGTAGCGCTTAGACACAATGGGCACCGATGCATGCTAATTAGCATGTGTCGGAGCAGACTTGATTGAGTCTGCTGGAGCGTGTTAATGCACTCCAGCAGCCTCTGCATCACATCTATTCAGCATCCACATGCTTCAAAATGGCAGCAGGGATGCTTTAATTAAAGCTCCAGCAGCACCAAGCTTTAGTTCAAGTGCTCCCACCACCATTTTGAAGTGCAGGGATGCTAATACACAAGACGCTCTCAGAGCCATTCTAATTAAAGTGCCCCACCCGCTCACCCCCACAGCACATGTAAAAGTACCCTCAGTTTCACAGGGGAAAATATGGTGCTGAAATAGAAGGAGCTTGGTACCATACCAAATCTGATACAGTTATTACAGACCTTTTGTACCACCTTGAGATCTTTCATGAAACAGACACACACAATAACTGGCTGAAAGGATGATGAAATGTACCATACCCAACATCCAACTATTTAAATAAAAAGAGAAAAACCCTAATCCAAGCGTCAGCAAGTCTGGAAATACAGAACTAAGATATATAGCCAATTCCATGAAGCTACATAATAACTGATCAGTCACTAACACCCTGCGTACACCATATGGAATATGATAACTGAAGAAGTCAATCTTCCACTGGAACACTGCCAGTGAAAAGAATGCTACCAAGTTCCACTGCAAAAAAAAAGGGAAGGGGGAACATGGTAGGGAATAGGGGGCTGGAACTGGAAGCTGAAGCTACAGCTGCAGGAAACTACATTTCTGATACTATGGTAGGTTTTACAGACCATAAGCAAAACAACCTGGCAATGTGAACTTGAGACCTTACATTAAGGACAGCATTTATACTAGCTAGATAATACTCTTATACAAAGGTTGACTTTCCAACTGACAGGACTAGAGTTGGCCCTACTGATTTTGTGGTAACAACTCACAAACACTGCAAAAAATATTATATATTTAACACTGAAAAAGCTGTTTCCATAGAGCCATATCACAACTGTCAGTGGCCCTACACAGGTCCTACCACCAGACAAAAAACAAAATACAATGTACCTCTTTGGAAGTGGAGCAGCTAGATCTGGTGTATGTATTAAAATGTTCTCTCAACCCTCCTCTTTTAGGTGTTAAATAAGCTATTGTTTTTAGCCCTCAACTCTGTTCCTCAAGGAACTATACTCTACACTGGAAACAAAACATACCAAGACAATCTTTGCTCATCAATTTCAGACCCAGGTTTGTGTAGAGATTTAATCACCTCTGACCTTGCAGAAGGATAACCCCTTCAGGTCAGGAAGCAGGAAGGTAATTTTAACTCCAATTGCTTGTTCTGTATCTGACCTTTGTATATGCCTTCTATAGCAGTCGAATGTGCCATTTCCTTGTACTAACAAAGGAGAACCAATCAAAGAAAAAATTAGATTAATTATTGGTGTATAAAGAAGTGGAATATTTTGAAAACTACCACATTTCAATTGATCTATTTTTTCAACACCTGCTGACACTGAATAGTACATTTTCAGACCTTCATTCATTCCTTTTAATACTACTAAGTTCTAACAGCAGATCAAACTGTTATATATACACATATTCAAATATTTATATCAAAATGCAGTGTTTATATTTTCTCTACACAGTAAAATAAGCACATATTGACATGTTTTGTATAATATCTATTAATTTATTTTTTGAATTCTGGTTGAACACCCAAAGCCAGTTATCATTTTTGACAGCACTTCTCAATATTTGCTAAGAGGAAAACATCAAATATACATAAAATTGTCTTTGTTCTATTTGTTCAATGTAATATGAAATATATTAACTCCTTAGTAAACGATAGAAGAATCTATTCACTTTGGCAAAGACAGAAATTGAAAGAAAAGAAATCCAAGAGCATGACTTGGGAGAGCTCAGAAATGACAAAACCATGATGCACTTGAGAGGAGATAAGCAATTTACACAAAAC